GACCTGATGATTGTAGTGATCTAGGCACAACCACAACCTAGACCCCTACAACTTTGAACCATGGCCCGAAAGGGGTGTCGTGTACAGAGGCCCATACCGCATTGAGGAAGGGGTGGCGTGTTCAAGTTGCCCTTTGACAGCCGCGACTATTCGGGCTCGCGCGTGTACGTGTGTGTGCGTGCGTGTGGAAGTGGGTCAAGGGTCCTCAGGTCAGCAAGCCGCAAACAACTGCCTGTGCGAGGCAGCTGACGTTGAACAAGAAAATGGGGTTTGGAAAGCATTTTTAGGAAAAAAAAGGGGTAAAACAAGGCATTGGATAGCATGGTTGGAGGAAGGGGACATTCGTATGTAGGTCGGAGAGAACTACCTCGGAGATGGACGTGGAGAATTCCAAAATTTGTTCGGTCGAAGATAACAAGGAGTCTTTACCATTTTAGTTTGGAATGGCACCCAAAAAAGAAATTCCTCAAAATACCCCTTTAGGCAAAATGCGATTACCACAGTTACTCCACACTTTGAACGAGAACGCTAGTTTTTTTACTGTTCGTCGCCTAATGAACTCCAGAAAAAATCTGCCAGGTAAAGCTGACGTTCGGCATTGTAACGATGGCTTTACTGTCCCGCAATAGTAAAGTTGTTTCGGAATTTATTCCATTGATACTTCTCACATTATGATGTCCTTAGATATCGGAATTTTGTATTGTGTTTCAAAAATATTTTCTTACGAGCCTCAAGACTCGCTGTATAAATGAACTGCCAGTGGTTATTTGGGCCCCATTCTGCTGGGGGAAGTCAGACAAACTAGGAATCTCAGAACAGACTGGTGCTCTCCTCCGGTCCTTAAAATATCGATATGGAGATCATTCATTGGGGATTCGGAACGAGACTGAAAAACCAATAGCTTAGACATCATTGTCTTTTTTCCCCTTAAATCGTGGTATGCTCCAGCTCATTGACAGCTTAGTCGAGCCCTTTGGTGGCGCTGTCGGTTTGACAAGGACCTCAGTCTCAAACACTTGAATCACAGACAAGACTTCTATGGGCACTCTTTTGCGAAATTATGCATCTTTTATGGATAAGGAGCAGCGGCGAAAGTCACAGATAGGCAGGAGTTCTTAAATGATTCAGAATGAGAAGGTGCACTCTTACATGTTTGTAAATAGATAAGGGCAGACCGGAAGTTTCGAAATGAGGGGTTGAATCGGGGTTAACTATTCGATCTCGCATGCGTTGTATCAGGGGTTCTAGCCGTTAGATTCCTGACACAGGTCTCGGAAATGAGGCCCCTAGAACATATTTTTTTCAACCTACATAACCGTAAACTTAACCACAACCCTTATCTTATGCCTTACCCTAAAAGTAAGACACAAACCTGCGGCCAAGCGTATATAAGGTGCACT